TGGTTTTTTTAATGGTACCTTCCTTTTTTAAAATCTGAGGTTTTTTTTTTTTTTTTTACTGAGGATTGAACCCAGGGCTGCTCAACCACTGAGTCACATCCCCAGCCCTTTTTTACATTTTGTTTAGAGACACGGACTCACTGAGGCTGGCTTTGAACTCATGATCCTCCAGCCTCAACCTCCTGGTATTATAGCTTCAGCCTGTTGGGATTACAGACATGTGCCACCATACCCAGCTCATTTTTAATTGTGTATCTGTGGTTTCATTTATAAATGGCCCATGCCTCATAATTTATCTTCCCTCTAGAAATATTTGTTTCTTCTTCAAGAATTTTTTAAAAGAATTTTGGCTGGTTGAATTCTTTCATGATTGCTCTAACTGGCTTTTAAAAATTTTTTGAATCTATTTAGGAAAGCGTGCCTGTACTCCCCTTTCTGGTTGGGTGATATCTAGTGTAACAGTAGCAGGCTTCTGTTTTTCTTTACTTTTTTCTAAATGCCCACAACCGGCTTTGCCTTTCCTTTTGTGGAAACAGGAGAACCAAAAAGAGACCTGGGACTGGAAATTAAAGTTCTGCTACTAAACACCCTACTAAGCAAATCACTTCATCTCTCAGTGCCTTAAACTCTTAGGTGTAAAATGAAGTATGTGGACATGTGAGAACTGAAACTCTGACAATTTGTAATACCAGAGCACCACGACTGTGTCTAAATTCCTGTGAGGAAAGCACGTGCCTTTCCATTGTTCATTTCAGTCTTGTGGCCTATTATAAATAATATCTGACCCCGAAATAAGCTTCCATGTGGGCCTCCTTCCTCCCTTACTCCTTAAACGTGACTGTGTCATAGGATATCTGAATTAGCCCCTCCTTTCCTTTTCATAAAAGTGTCTCTTATCATGGTCTCATCTATTCCTTTCAACACCCACCCCCCTTTAGCTCTAGCTCTGACTCTTCATCTCTCTCCATCCAACATCTCCATCCAACCAGAAAGCTCCACCATTTTGTCCCAGAGACACCTCAAACTTATTTTGGATCCATCATCATTCATCCCCAACTGGTTCCTCCTCCTCTCAAATTCCTGTATCTATCAAGAGATTCTGTCTTCCTGTCAGTTACATCAACATGGAAGCCCTGTGTTCCCTTTGGACTTTCCCTCTTGCTTATCCACATGTCCTCAGTGGCCAAGTCCTGACAATTTTAATGCCTTGCACTCTTGGACATTCATGCCCTCTGCATCTTCTTTCCAAGTACTCATGAATTCTGCTTTGTCAAGTAGTCTAACTGGTCACCCCTTCAGGTTCTCACTCTTTAATACCTACTAGGCAGTGAGGCTGTATTTCACATCTTAAAACATGGTGATAAGCCTATTATTCTTTTCTCCCTGAAAATGGCTCATTGCTCCTCCCTATCTCAATACATAAATAAGTTCCAAACCCCTGTCATGCTATTCAATACTCTCTATTAAGAATCTATCCCCATCCTGTTATTCTTAGTTATTTCCTGCTATTCCTTGTATGGCAATTTAGATTCCAGATTTGCTGTTCCAAATAATATCCCAGTGTTCTAGTTCCAGGCCCTTGACTTGAATGCCCTTTCTCCCCACTCCCGGCCTTAGCAACTACCCAGGATGCCCACTCATATGCCATTCCAAAGCTTCTCCTAACCACATCAGCTGGAAGAAACCTCTTTCTGTCTCCCCTCAACCCTCATAGCACCTTTCTTGTACCTTAACAAAGAATGACAGCTATCATTATATTTCTCTGACAACAGTCAATTGCACAAGTAATTTTCCTTCGTCATGAGACCAGAAGCTCTTTGAGGGAAGCTTCTCTTTCTGAATAATTTTTAAACACTGTAAAAGTCTTTTTTTTTTTTTTTTGGTACCAAGATTGAACTCTGGGGCACTCGATCCCTGAGCTACATCCCCAGCTCTATGTTATATTTTATTTAAAACCAGGGTCTCACTGAGTTGTTTAGTACCTTGCTTTTGCTGAGGTTGGCTTTGAACTTGTGATCCTCCTGCCTCGGCCTACTGAACTGCTGGGATTACAGGCATGTGCCATCTCACCAGGCTAAACACTGTGAAACTCTTAATGTCACATAAATATTTGTACCTAAATATTGAATAAATAAATAACAAAGTAAAACAGAACAAATCCTGCCTTCTTGACTGAATAGGCATGTTCAATACTAATTGTTAATCAATAATACCTCCTAAGTTATTAATAATTCCTAAGTACTGTGATCAAGGTAATATCTTTGGATCCAAGATGATGACAATAACTTTATAGTTGTACAAGATGCATAAATTAATTTTCCAAATAAGAGGAAGCCTTTCACAGAATTGGAATTTGTGGCTATCAACTGCTAAAATAGGCTGTCAGACAAGCAAATGTTTAAGTAATTGATTGTTTTTTGGTAATTGATCACTGAAGAAGTAAACAACATATAAGTTATTCAAAATAGTTATATTAATAAATATCTGATGTACTAGGTCACAACAGCTATCTACAGAGGTGCTCTACATTCTGGGGAAATTTGGGGAAGCAGATGGCATTTCACCTGTGTTTCATGATCATTTGAGAAGGAATTAGCTGATTTTGATAACTTCTGGTACGCTGGCAATAAAGCTAGATATAAAACTTAGTTTGTACTGCCCTATTGAAACTAAATTATTGTGATATTATTTTTCAATAATGCTTATAGATTCCTATCAAATTTGGCAAAGGATAATAACTTATTGCTGATGGATATCTTATGAGGGAAAAGTATTCCTATCTTAAAATAGGATTATGTCTATAACATTATAAAATTATCTTCCCACCTACCTAGACCAATAGAAAAGAGGCATCATGTTACCTCTAAGTGACAAAACATTGGTATTCCTTAGCAACCCTTGCATAAGCCTTGTGTTGCCAAAACACCCCGAAGGCTCTGCTTTTAACCACAGCTTTCATTACCTGATTACTAGCCCTAAGATGAAACCAGCCCAAACAGGCAGCCAACAGGGTAGAAAAGTTTTGCTGAGTTTCATAGTCACTCTCCGCAACCATACTGTACTCCTTTTTCTGGGCTATTTGTGAAGCCAGATAGATACAGCATCACATGTAGAGAGCTGAAAATGTGCTCCCTTCTAATAAGAGGTCCCACTGTTGCTCCCTGTCCTGAAGCTGCCTTCAGGCCTTGGGGCTTGGTAATGCAGATGACGATAAAGGAGGTTATGACTAGTTTAACTAACTTCCCACTTGAGGAAGTGGTGCAGGGACTTGGCTAAATTGCCTGGAATTGGAACATGGCTCTGCCATGTCTTATTTATGCAAACTTAGATGAGTTAGTGTGCCCTAAACTTCCATTTCCCATCATATAAAATGAAAATCATTACAGTATCTCTTTGTTATTATAACAATTAAATAGAATAGCACCTGTGAAACACTTACCAAAATGCTACTAATATTTGCTCAATAAATCTCTTATGGAGAATTGGCTCACAGAGGTTTTCAAGAGTCTTTGTGACTAATGACTAAATTTCATTGAAAAGACAGAAGCAATTCTAAAGGTCCATGGTTTTTTTTGCCTAATTTTTCTCAAAAGAACTGCTTCTAAAATTTAAGAAGTAGTGCTGATGAAGTCAGATGTCTCTCCTATACACAAAGAGAAACAGGACGTAAAGTTGGAGAACAATGTGTTGTTTTTCTTCAACAAATGTACCTGCACTTACACATCAAAAAAGAGTTTTAATCTTCAAAGGAATCACATCAGGAAGCCATGCACTTATTTCATTAATGCTGCCAAATATTTTTGGAACTCTTCCTTCTAAATTACCTTCTGAATCTGCTTCAAATTCTTTTAGATGTCTTCATTGGCAACAAAATTTTATCCTTTGGGAATTTTCCATTTTGAAAGCAACTTTAAAACCAACTCTTATGAACAAAATGGAGGACAATGTCACCTCTAAATCAAAAGCGAGGAAATAAGGACTTCTTTACATGGCTATTTGGGTGCCTTTATTTCAGATATGGAATCTCTAAAATATTTCAGGCCAGGAAAGGCATGGTCATAATTAATGTGTTGTTTTGTGAGTGAATAACAGGTTACGTTACAGGAACCTTCACATATATTTGCTCATCTACTGTTCATATCATCTGAGGTCTGTACTCATTTTCCCCATTTCAGAGATGAAGTCATTGGAATGCAGAGAAGTTAAGGATTTTGTCTAAAGACAGAGCTGTAAATCGAGGAGCCAGATATCAAACCCAGACTCTCCATTTAGTATATATGCTATATTTTCTAGAAAGTACAACCTGTGTGTGTAAATGATTTTACTTTCTGTTGCGTTTCGTTGTTGATTCTTTCAAGATACTATCATTTAAACTTGGTGAATGATAGTGTGTCTCTCCATGTTTTTTTGTTTGTCTGTTTGTTTATCTCAGTTACTGTTATGAAGCGGTATCTGAACTGTGTCTCTCTGTTGTCTCTTTCCAAGGAGGAAGCAGTCCCACTTTCTGGCTGCCTGGCTTTCTAACTACCCAGAGGCGATCCTAGGCTTGCACAGGTGCTGGCCTTTCACCCAGCAGCCTCTTTACCCTTGAGCCAGAGGCCTCCCTTCTATAGTGCCTCCTTAGGCCTGTTTCAAAACTCCCTCTAAAAACTGGCTTCTTCCATTGTATCATTCATCAGGTCAGTCTCACTGGATTGAAGGAAAGGAAAGAAGAGAAAAGTAGGAAGGAAAGGCATTGGGATTTTTTAAGTTCTCTTGCTAAAACACCTTTACATATAATTTTCCATAAACAGAATGCTCTGCTTCCCCCAACCCCTGCCCTTTCTCTCTTTCCCTTTTGTCTCCTTGGCTCCTTTGCTTTGAACTATAGGTTTCCAAAGCAGCTTCAGACCAATGCCAAGGCCATGTGGCTGACCAGTCATTCATTATTCAAATAATGACAAGCCCAAGAAAACAAATTAAAAAAATAAATAATTATGCTGGAACTTTTTAAATTTCAGGATAAGAGAAAAATACAGGAAGAAATCTCTCAGAAGCGTCTGAAAATAGAGGAAGAAAAACTAAAACACCAGCATTTGAAGGTAACATATGACTTTAATTGTATTTCAATGATTTTGTATTCAAATAACCTAATGGCATTCAAATTTCAATAGAAACGATGCTTTCAGAGACAGAAAATTCCCAGCATAGCTCTCAACATTCTAATAGCCCTACAAGAAGCCAACAAGCTAGCAATATTTGCATATGAGATGAATACCTTCTGTCAAACTCATGGGAAGCTGAAAACATGGTTTGATTACTTCTGTCCTTTAGCACTGAATTTCCTAATTTTCCTCAGTAGCCTTGAGAATTCAGCCTTGAGAATTTGGCCCTGATACAGTCTTTTTTAACATCCCTGGGGAGGGGATCCAGCTAGGAAGTTCCCTTTGAAATCAGTGAAAGGCCAGCCATTTCCCAGGGGATGCAGAACAGACAGTGTCCAGCCTGGTCAAGGATGCTTGTGTTTAAAAGCTCAATGTGATGAATCCAGTGTTGTTTGAGAATGGCTTGGGTTGGGTTTCTGTTTTATTTTGTTTTGACAGAACATGAGATCATAACCATAAATAAGTCTCCATTTTTAAAAATCAGACTTTACATCTTTCACTGGGTGTGGTCACTTTGTAATTAAAGCACATTGAGTTTCAATATTTTATTACGTAGCTTAGTCACAGGATGTAAGCAAATGACAAACAGGAGCTCCTTGTGAACAAGCCCAAGCAGGAAACTGTACTTATCTGGCAGGGCTGCTACCAATAAATTTAATG